CTACTCCTCTGCACTATCAATTGTCCACAGTATTATCCAGTATTGGCTATCCGCTAACAATCAAAACTCAGGAACTTTGACGTAACTATGATCGTTGTTTCCGCTGATACTGTTTGTTAATTAGGCAACTAAAAAAACGGGCACCTGCTCATAGAAAACAACAACCAACGTTTTATTAAAACTGTTCGCCAATTAATTAGTGACATACCAATAATCATTACCGGATATTTAATACTAATTAGGCATCCTGGGATTCAGAGAGGGTATATCAGTGGGGATCAAGGGTCAGTTCGAGTTGTAAGGGCTAGCTGCTGTTGTTCCACGTGAATAAAGACTTGGATTATTGTATAAGGTAAGGCCACTCTGTACAATTTTTGACTCATCTGATTTAGATAAAAGTCTGACTAATCTGTCCTAATGTATTATCACGTCCGCGAAACAGGTAGGACAAAATTGTGACTATTCTGATTAATGTGCTGAACAGGATTAATTTGTTACGTTTTATTTTTATGAAACAGAATTGTATTGGATTTTGACCAACAAAATTACATGTAGGGGTGGGGTGGGGGGGATTGGGGGGGTGAGGGGGGGGGGGGGGTTTGAGCTTGTTGCAAATTACGGTGATAACCGTGAACATTACTGTTAATATTTAAAGTGAACAGGTTTTTAGTCGATCGTTATTCTAAACGCCAGAAAAACCCTTTAAAGAGACTCGTTCACCATTCGATTGGACAATCATAGCTTAGTCATAGAAACGGGAATTTTTTTACCTAGGCTAATTAGTAATAGTGTTCACAGCTCACCGTCGAAATTGTACCGTCTAATTCTTGTGTGTTTAGAATTATCCGTTTGATATGTGCAGTATGAAATGTAGAGTTACATAGAGAATACATCATATATATATAGTGTACATGGCAGGAATCCCTAATCAAGGCCAAGGACGATAACACAGACCCATGCTGCTTTGTGTTCAATATAATAATTGGAATTATAGTTATTGTGTTTAATGAACCATAGACTATACAATAATAATAACAATGGATCTGATTATAATGAACTAAATATAATTAAGCCTAATTTAATTCTAGTCTTTCTGCATAATATCAACTTTTAATTTGTCTTTCTATTTCGTGTGCATCATATAGAATTATCATAATGTATTTTACAACAGTATCATTGGTTTTAAAGGTATATTCTTCTGCACCGAATTGTGCTAATGAGGACTATACAGAGTACAATGGGGAACATTTGTCATGACAGACGCATTAGTTTTCTCTTTTTCAATTTCCAATATTGTTAAGGAATCTTTAACATTCACAGAATGTAGCACGCGGTGCCTTGGCTAAAAATCTCATCCAGACGACAAGACGCTTTCTTCGTGTCAGCCCAAGAAATGGCATGCATCATTATAACTGAATACAGGGCAACAAGTCAAATATCTGTGTATCTTTTTTATGTCCACAACTTATTGTTACAGCACATTATATAGTTATAGAGTTATTCATATAGAGCACAAAGCGTGAACAATAGTAACTTGATACTTTCTACTCAGTCTATACACTCGACGTATGGTTGGCCATTGGTATCATCATTGTAACGCCTTGGGTCCATTGTTATTGGTCTCCTCGACCAAAGATCTTCATACCAGATTGGACACAGTATTCAAATTCTGGAACACGATTGGTCGAAATCTGTTACGACAACAAATGGGAATCATTTTACGTGACTTGATTGACGTCTAAAAGTTCTGGTCCATGAACTATTTTGGGAATTCAACTTCGTCCAATTAATTGTATTTTTTTTAATTTTTCGAGATGACGACGTTGACAAGATGTGTAGTTGCAATCGGGCAACGGATCTAATTATTTTTTATGAAGATAATTATTCGTTTTTGTGTGTAAAATTCACAATTTTAAGGTTATCGAGATTGAAAAACATGGCAATACCATATATGGTCAGCACTCCTTTTGTTTTCTGAAAATAGACCCCCACTGAGTCAGTCAGTACGGGCTGACTAATTAGCATTCTTATCAAATATTTACAAGTGACAAATTAAAATCGCATACAGAAAGGTCGTAAGGTCCTATAAAACTGCTAGAAGACGGTCGCTTGGTACACTTCTCAATTTCCGGACCAACGGCTGCTCTTCTGGCATTAATTTGTAAGTTTTTGCTTTTTTATTTTTGAGACGGAATGAAACACAAATTAAAAGTCAGATTTAGTTTTTGAATTTAGATTTATCTGAATTATTTATAAGATTATTAATTTCAATTCAATTTAACGTGTTTGATTTCCTGAAAAATTCATATTTGGCGCGAAATTTACAAAGGGAGTTAATCGATATTCTGAATTTCTTTAGATAAACGCTAATAGAGTGCCTGCTGCTTTGGGCGTAATTTAGTTTAAGTTATAGAAGAGACAGTAATTCTGGCTGGGGCCTGAAGGCCGTCTAGGGCCCCTGAAGCTAGATCATTGATAGTGCAAAATGCAGCTGAATTCATTTAAGTTACGACCCTGGCTGCTATTTTACACGTTTTGCAATATTTTATTCATTAACTAAAAAGCTTATTTTCATCTCCATTGTCTACGATACAAGGAGAGTCAGACCAGCCTCGGTAGGCATACTTCAATGATTTGAGCGCTTGGCCGATAAACTAGATATATTTGGATGGTGTAGATCAATCCACTCCTCACGTGTACCTCAGTGGTGCATGTAAGATGGATTGATTTTGAATGAGCGCAGTATTGTTCGGAAGAGCCACAGAACTATGCATTCTACCAGTGGCTGAACAAGATCAGTAGGGGTCTGTGACCCAACCCCGGGAAATTGTTTCCTACACTTTATCTGGGGATGGAGGCTCTTTATGGGCGGGGTCCCTGGACTTGGCTCAACCAGTCCCTATGATAGTTTGAGCCATTGTATTCTACCCTACAGGATGTGGAAGTAGAAAGTTCCTTTTTAATTTGTTGTTACATTGTCAAGTAGGTACAACTAGTATATTTCATCTCCGGCGTACGTTCAATAATTCTAAAACAAACTAGTTGAAACAACAATATAAAACTTATTGATGTCACGTTTTAACGTCTTAAGTAAATTTTCAACATGGATTTGTACATTAAACTCCAATGTTACAATAGTGAATATTAACATAATATTATCTAAGGCAATCATACTATTTGTATAACAAATAATCTAAACATATTAAAACAGAAACTGATAGAGTCACAGGCTGAAATAGATCAGTTGTCTGAAGATCGCACATCGTGAAACTCTTGATTAACAACATGTTTCAGGTCATGTTTTAATATTTCTATGTTGGTGTATTGAGCACTATTTTAACAATAATATTTCTATATCGCTCTACAATTGATGTATTGATCACTATTTTAACAATGGTATTTCTATATCACTCTACAATTGATGTATTGAGCACTATTTTAACAGTGGTATTTCTATATTGCTCTACAATTGACGTACTGAGCACTATTTTAACAGTGATATATTGAGCACTATTTTAACTGTGGTATTTCTATATCACTCTACAATTGATGTATTGAGCACTATTTTAACTGTGGTATTTCTATATTGCACTACAATTGATGTATTGAGCACTATTTTAACAGTGGTATTTCTATATCACTCTACAATTGATGTATTGAGCACTATTTTAACAGTGGTATTTCTATATCACTCTACAATTGATATATTGAGCACTATTTTAACAGTGGTATTTCTATATCTCTCTACAATTGATGTATTGAGCACTATTTTAACAGTGGTATTTCTATATCTCTCTACAATTGATGTATTGAGCACTATTTTAACAGTGGTATTTCTATATCACTCTACTATTGATATTTTGAGCACTATTTTAACAGTGGTATTTCTATATCTCCCTACAATTGATGTATTGAGCACTATTTTAACTGTGGTATTTCTATATCGCTCTACAATTGATGTATTGAGCACTATTTTAACTGTGGTATTTCTATATCGCTCTACAATTGATGTATTGAGCACTATTTTAACTGTGGTATTTCTATATCGCTCTACAATTGATGTATTGAGCACTATTTTAACTGTGGTATTTCTATATCGCTATACAATTGATGTATTTAGCACTATTTTAACAGTGGTACTTCTATATCGCTCTACAATTGATGTATTGAGCACTATTTTAACTGTGGTATTTCTATATCGCTCTACAATTGATGTATTGAGCACTATTTTAACTGTGGTATTTCTATATCGCTCTACAATTGATGTATTGAGTGGCCTGTTGTCAAAGTTATTGCACTTTTAATAGGTTCAACGTCTTTTAACCAACTCACCAAGAACTCCAAGAAAAAGAAACAAATATGTCATGTATTCATGTGTTAGATGCTACTTTGTATTCCGTTGTTATCATTGTTCGTTTATCCATTTCAGACGTGACCAATAGAAGATGCGGTTTATACAACCGGTTTATGTATGGCTTTTCATAATGATTTGGTTTCAAACTGGTTTCAGTTCTAAGGAACTATCGCTTGAATTAGGTAAATAGTCTTACTTTATATAATACAAAGAAAGGTTCTCGATGAACATGTCTATCGGCTCGTCCTTGGTCAAATCTCTTGAGAGCTTTTTATGCATTATCCGTATCCATTGACTGCTAGGTCGACTGGAATGACTTATTCAGGAACGGATTGCAGCTGAATATATTTGAAAGTGAGGAAAGAAACTTATCAGTACCCATGGCAGTTGGGTCGAATGGAATAATAAGGAAAAGTTATTTTTTCAGTAACCATTTACAACTAGATCCACTTCAAAAATGAGCAAATATAACTTATCCAATACCCATTTACAGCTGAGTTGACTGGAATAATAAGTGCAGCTGATTTATTGAGTATCCACTTTTAGCTTTACACTTTCCAGAAGTAACCAGGACGTCATAAAATTCGTTTGCATTGGCTGTTCTATATTTAAAATGTTTCCAACCAATAATTTACTCCTTTTTCAGCGGCAACATCGCCTTATATGGACAGTGGTAAAGTTTCTATCGACCCGTGTATGAAGATCAACTGTACTGGATATAATGTGACGTCATTCCACGTTGATATAGTTTGGTTTACATCAAGTGTGCATGAACCATTTTCAGTTTTGACTGCAGGTACATTTTTTGATTTTTTCGCGCCAATAGCACTGTTCATTTGACCATAAGATAGCTTCAGTTGACAATAATTTGTATTTGTCCAAGGTGCTAAACTTTCAGTTAATTGACTTATGTCTAATCACACTAAAATAACAGTCACTATGGTAGGATATTTGAGCCAAACGTGAGTGTTATGAAGAAATGTCTATTTACTAATGTAATGTATCTTTTGCACAATTATTTTTTTCTATTTCTATCTGACAAACTACCGGTGTTGCCATGTCATTAGACCCTATTGATGAGTTTATACTGAATCAAGAATCTAACCAAGACCTTCTTACTGTTTAACGTGACCCCTTCAAAAGCCAATCGAATAAATGACTGAAGACTCCAATCTTCCCATAATTATGTTATTTAGGTATATTCATACCGTACACTCAGAAGGTTTCCTAATTAAGAAAATCTGTGTATAACAGATCTGAAACCATCTCATGTGTTCAGTTAAGGCTTTTAACTGATCCACGTATGTCATTACTTTTCATGTACCCGACAGATGAACAGATACGGTGTAAGATTGAGGAATGGGAGTCTAAAAAAGATCAATGGGACTCTTATAATAAAGATAAGCGGACCTCTTGTTTAATGCCGTAATTACATAAAGATTGTGTCATCTTGAATTCAGTATAGACTCATCAATTATAACATGGCTACACCGGTAATGCCCAATAAATATGTCTACAGTTACATTGTTAAGTCAAAAGAATATCGTCAGTTCACAATGTTTTAAGATGCAGATTGCTTTTTAATGTCTTGTTTGATTTATTTCAGCATCGTCCATGTACAATACTTCCGATATGTTAATAGTGAACGACGACATCGATTTTCTATTACAACAAGCTCAACGTCTGCGTATCCCTGAATCCCCTATAATACGTTTCCCGCGTCAGAGAAATCCCAATAAATGGCGGGAAGAAAAGGGTCTGGCTCCGATTTTAGAAGAAGAAACGAGAAAACGGAAAACGAAATTAACAGCGAGTGATTTTGAATTCTGTGACAGTGAAGAAGCCATGACGAGGGGAGAGAAAGATATTTTATATAGTATTATTACTAATCTAGACTGGACACGATTAGTTATAATTTGTGATGTATATACTGGTAAGTTTCATTGATCGCACTTGTTACAATCCAAGAGGGACAATGGCGGCGAAAGTTCGGGTACAGGGGGGCATTTGCCCTCCTAGAAAAATGGTTTACACCCCCAATTGTACCCCCAGTTTTCTCCAACTCGATCGATTTATTTTTTCTACAATGTCCTTGAGAGAACCTCTAAGACGCTCTATGAGAGGCTTGAGACTAAGACAGAGTAACCAAAATTTTAATTCAGCCTCAACAGTTGTTACCCCATTGAGTTAGTCTGCCCCCTATTTGTACCCCAAGTCTCGGAAGGCTGACGCCGACACTGAGGAGGGAGTCGACAGTAGATTTTTGAGGAAAGGTCAGTAGGCATTGTGAAGACAAATTCTTCTACCCAGATACATCTAACAGTGTCAAATCCTTCTAATACCGTGACATCATCTGTCACTTTTCTTGTTGCACGGGAATGCAGCAATTTGATTGGATTGTACGCCCTCGAATACAACAATGAGAGCCTTCGAAGAAAGGCTGTAAACAATATGGCTGGGCGTATAAACTACTGGTTCTCGGGTGCCATCAGAAAGGAGGTTAAAAACGTTTCCTTGATAGTCTTACCATCACACACTAATGATAAATGTGAAGTATATTCGACCTCATTGCTTCTGCAAATTATGGAAACATTTATTTTACTTCTTTATAACGACACACGTACATAGTCAAGGATAGTCAAGAGTCGCAGATGGTTCTCACGAAACCACCGAGATTTTAATCTGATTTTACTCTGTATAACGGTTGACTTGCTTTGTTTTATATGCTATATGCTATACTCTCATATCTTTCATCAAATGTGACTCTTTTCAATGTGAAATAAAACCCAACCGAAACGATAGATGTATATTACCTACGCTGTGAAAACATATTTGGTTACAATTGACCGAGGTTTTGTTCCATTAGTTAATTGTCTTACATTGTGGTGATTTAGACCTAAAGCCTGCATGGCCCATGGAAAAGATTATTTATTGATCCACTCTTGATTTGCAGGGTTGAGTTTCGCTTCAGATGAGAATCCACCTGAACAAGCTACGAGTCAGTAAGTCTCGTACTGGAAAACCGCTTTTCTTTTATCTCTAAGCACTAATGTATTCGAGTGCTATCCACTGATATCCCTACCTCCTACGTCTGTACCCAATCCTCGGAAAGGTCGGACGGAAAACTCCATTTCATGTCCTACAATCATTTTATTCTATTGTAGAACACGAGACTATGATGTTAGCAGAGGAGCTATCGACTACTGGTATAAAATTTACAATCCTCACCATAAACAATACAGAATCACATTACCTCCCTTACCCTGGCCTCAGCGCTACCTATAATCTCTTCAATAGGGAAGAATTAAACGTGGTCTTGATGTGCTCTTTAGGTTGTGTAAGGCTTATTCTTCACGAGGTAAGAACATGCTTAGTTTTGGAATTTCGACCTTACGAAGAAAGAGGCATTTAAAGATTGAGAGCCAGACGATTCTTTCTGTCAGTTGGTACTTAGTCATACCTCTTGGGGATGATCTTTCTCAGATTAAACATATCTATTCCTTTCTGGTTTCTGTGGATATTGAGGAACAAACTTGACCAATATTGTTGCATTTTTATGTTTTCCATTGACACATTCTCAACTGGTTCATATAGGTCATTGTGATTGGGCTTTTTGTAGTAAAGGTCTTCATTGTCCATAGAACTATGCTGAGCTAATTGAACAGACGGAAAGATTCGATCTTCTCCAGCTGTTAATGATTGAGAGTCAGTTTGGATATTAAGCTAGCGTGCGACATTTCACTGGAGACATTGCCATAGCACGCCCAACCCTTCACCTGACAACGTTTTTCATCAACGACATGATTTCAATTGTTCTTTTATTTTAACACTACAAAACGTTATTTCAGGCCAATAATTTTGATCTAACCAATGATAATAAAACTTCTATTCGTCACGATTCAAAATGGTTAATCTCGAATTATGGATACGACCAAGATTTTCTGGAGAATTCAGGAATTACCATTGATAATATAGCCGCCCTTACTGGTCCTAGTTATCATGAATGTTATACCACTTCAATTAAACAGGTTGGTTTGAAAATGTTTATCTTTTTTAGTGTGTATATCGTATTAGAGGCCTGGAATTGTTTGTGGATGCAAAGCTCCTTGTCCTTGAAAAGTTTTGTTCGTGTATTTCATGGTTCCCAAAAAGACTTAAGTCTAAGTTGCATATTCTGACAAAAACATTCAAGATCTTGGAGTAACCATCCGAAAAACAGCGAAAGCAAACATCAGATTTGCATTTTAATCATATTGAGCTCTGTGAGGTATTGAAATTGGTTAGTGTTACGTCTGTAAGTCTAAGGATTAACACAATATTTCTATTGCCATTGTCGATGAATTCAGATTTTAATATTAATCAGCTTCTAATGTTTCTCAGGTGTTACCGTATGTAATAGAGGCTGCATTGGAGAAGATTGACGATGAACCGGAACTAGAATACTCTGGTCACGTGACTGTTGATGGTTATCTCAAATCAGAGATAATATCAGTAAGACATTGTTTAATTGATAACAGACAATAATACAGCGATGCAATGAAGGGGATTTATAAATCTATATATTATGTATTTGTTGGTATACGGGAGCTTTGAAAAGAGACATTCCCTGTGGTGAACTATACTATGAAGGAAATGTATCAAGTTGTATTTTTCGTGTGCTCTGATAGTTTTTGTTTCGGCTGATATACCTTAAAATGATTGGGAATTCTAATCCAGAAGATCCTCTTTCACCAACACTAAAATAAAACTAATTTTACCATTCAATTCATCTGATTGATCCATCACTAAAATTGAAAAAAAGTAGGACGCATTTCCATTTGTTACTCTTATTTGTTTTCAGATATTAAAGAACCCGTCCATCAAAACGAAGCCATGTATCGGTACGTTACTATGGAAACCAGGATTTACACGTGCAGTGAGCAATATAGTTCAGGGAACTGAAATAGATTACTCCGCCATCTTTCCTAATACTAAATTTGGTTTCAATCAACGACTATTTCAAGTTGCCACTCTCGCGGTTAGTTAATAAACCTTTTAACATTTTATAATTCAGAGAAATAGACTCAGTTTCCTTCTGTCAAACATTTATTTAGACGTCAAAAAACCATTAGCAATTTCATTTGTAAACTAATTAACAGATGCTACAAATATCGAAAAAACCAACCTTAATCATATTTTTAGTTTACTGTACACAAACGAGGTTATTATTAAGAGAGCACTTGAGACGAATTTGTCGTTTTCAAAAGAAAGAAAATGAATAAAAGGTAGGTAAATATGCGACTTGATGAAAATGATGAGTTGCGATCTTGGATAAATGGTATCTTATATCCCTAGCAGTCTAAACCAACTCTTCCTTACCGTTTTTTATATCACAACACTCGCTTCTTTTATTACAGTGGTCACCGTTTATGATAAAGAAAGAAGTAAACGGTTCAGCTGAATACAGTGGTCTGTGTATGGATTTACTCTTGGAACTAGCTGTTTCTTTGAATTTCACGTAAGTTAGAATTACTGGTTTGTAATAACCAGATGGAAGCGTAATGTGGCCCTAAATCAGATACATATTCCTTTAAATTACCATACGTAATGTGGTCGCTCCAAAACAGATAAATGTTCGCTACCATAGGTTTGAGCAATTTCAAAAAGGTCTTTAGGTTTACCGCAAAAATTTGTTTGAACATGCTGTGGGGGAAATTTGATTACTATTTGATTGGTTTGAAGTAAGTCGCCCCTGTATGTCACATGATTTTTTCTGGTACTGAATAGTTTTGGACGATTTTTAGAATATGCTCTTCAGGTTTATCACACACATTTGTTTGAACAGTGTGTGGGGAAAATTTCATGTATTGGAGAAAGTCTTATAAAAACCCAGGAGCTCTGTTATCTTTTTCAGATTTAAAATGGTGGAACCACCAGATGGGGAATGGGGAAGATTTAGAGACGGTGAATGGACTGGACTGATTGGACAAGTTGCTAAACATGTAGGTTGAACGTTTTATATTGTGGCTAAATGGATTATCAAACAAACATGGCGCCTTGAATGTGGCTGCTTATAATGTCCTTCACTTGCTTTGTTTGTGTTTTTGTAAAGCGCCATTTAAAGCCCAAATCAAAGCCTTGATGTAAATGAACGCTTTACGATGTATAATAATAGTCTTAGTCTTGATCTTAATGACCAAACAGCATGTTTCTCTTAAAAAAGGGCTTATCACATATGATTATATGAGTTGGACAGACCATTTGTCGGAGGGTGATATCAGCTAAAAGTCGTTTAGATAGTCGATACCGAAATCGAATATGTGCGTTCTTTACTTAGTCGAGTATTTGAAGAAAGTAACAAGTGAGTCTGATAGCAATTTACTGCACTTCAGGGGCACTCGCGCTAATTTTGAAACACCAAAATTCATCTGTCTTTGCTTCTTTGTTTTAGGAATCCGACATGGTTCTAGCAGCAGTAACAGTTTCCAACGAACGTGAAGCAGTGATGGACTTTACATTTCCGTATTATTTCGGATACTCGGTTGTATTTTTCCGGAAACCGGACCCTAATAGTGATAAATGGTACACCTTGCTGGCCCCGTTCAGTTGGCAGGTTCTATTATGTATATTCTGTTCTGTGTTAGGTGTCGGTGTATTATTGTACTATATAGAATGTATCAATCCCTTCTACACCGCCCTGTATCCTAAACGAAAGAAGACCAGCATACAGAGAACATTGTGGTATTTATACGGTGCCTTATTGTCTCACGGTAAGTATCAAAAGAACCTATATGGGGAGATAAAATGGCTTATTTGTTAGATAATTTTGGAACATCTCATTTCGGCAACTCATTTCACAATTAGATTATATACCTAGCCTTTTCGTGGGCGTCTGGAACTAAGAGATTCTATCATCCAGTAAAAGCCAAACAAAACTGGATATAAAAACCAAAACCCCATAGTGATACTTTAACTAACGCTTAACTATTTTTTGAAAATATAAAACCGTTTTACTGTTGACCATACGATGTCCGAATTGGTCAGTGGTAGAATGTTGTTAATTCAAATATAACGACACTGGATAATTATGTTAACCCTCAAGGCTATTTTGAAATTTTATTATTGACGATCACTTATTATTTTACAGGTGGCCATACGATGCCGGAATCAGCCAGTGGTCGAATGTTGCTGTCTACATGGTGGTTGTTCTGTATGGTTTGTGCTGCCACCTATAGTGGCAACCTGATTGCTTTCCTGACAGTTGGCACCAAGAAGGTACCGTTTAATACCCTAGACGAGATGGTCAATAGTGATTATTCCTGGGGATATATACAAGGCAGCTTTTTAGAAACTTTATTTAAGGTATGTGCGTTGTTGTATTAAAGAAAGACGAGTAATAAACTTGTTCTGACACAATTCAACGTTTCACATGCGTGTGTTAGAGCTGATATACACTGCCTGTATGAGCAAGTGAGTTAATGAATATCAGAAAAAATATATCAATATACCTTGTGCACAATACTATACTGTTATAGAAGTATATACTATTTTTGACATTTTTTAACACAACGTTTCAAATCTCATATAGACTGTATTATTAAGAGAAAGAATAGAAAATCGCAAATCAATCTGCTTATTATGTTCAATTTACAATTGTTTTCGACGTTGCTTGTAAAAACTAAGCGAGGCATATAAATTTCTACCATGTAAATACAATGATTGTTGTCTTGCAATGATTCTTATTACTTCCCTTTAGTCGTCTCGTTTCTTATTTGTTGTTGTGTTCCATTGACTTTCTGAGTTCAGTTCAATACTTCTCGCTCAATGGCCAGGTATCAGATTTTTTTACCCGATTGGCCACAATGTAATCATATTCCAGTATGATAGAACGTACTTTTGCTGGAGTGATATGGTGATTTCTAACTCAAGAAAATGGAACTCTACCCAAGCCATGAAAGCCAACAGGCCTCATAGAAGAAAAAGACACTTGTTACGTCACTGATAAACCAGCATATATATATCCCGATAAAATTGGTCTTTTCAGAATTCCAACTTAAAGACATATCAGAAAGTATGGGAAGGTGTACAGAAGTTTAGTAAAGATGACCCAGATCATCTCCATCCCGATATGAACGTGCATTTTGACCGGATGATGAACTCTGAGTATGCTGTGATAGATGATGGTTCGGCCATCTTCTCCTGGTCGGAGCAACAATGTGATATTAATATTCTAAATGAACGATTCTTCCCTAATCATTATGCTCTTGGTCTTCCAAATAATTCTCCGTTCACTGGTATATTTTCCGATCAGTAAGTATCATTATTTTTAACTGTTCATCGTCATTGTTTGGTTTTGAAATTTGGTCAATATCGTTTCATTTTCAAAGTGTTCTGTATTGGATATCTCACTATTTGTTCTCTGTGCTATCTGTGTTCACCGTGTTCACTGTTTTCGGTTCTCAAATTCCCCTCTTTCAAATTAGAATCGATTCGGTTTGTCCATGTTTTTCAAACGTAGAATTTGATATTCCTGAGAAGGAATTTTTGTAGCGCATCCCTACCTTCCTGACCCACACCAATATCGTTTTTATTCCTTGATGGTAATTTGGTAGGACATTAATTTTGTTATTCCCGCCAAACATCTAATGGCATTCAAAGAATCTTTTTCCGTATCTTCAACTAACTTACAATAACAGCTGGTTTTGTACCAGATCTGGATTAAGGCTGTAAGATAACAGCTGGTTTTGTACCAGATCTGGATTTAGGCTGTAAAGTAACAGCTGGTTTTGTACCAGATCTGGATTTAGGCTGTAAAGTAACAGCTGGTTTTGTACCAGATCTAGATTAAGGCTGTAAGATAACAGCTGGTTTTGTACCAGATCTGGATTAAGGCTGTAAGATAACAGCTGGTTTTGTACCAGATCTGGATTAAGGCTGTAAGATAACAGCTGGTTTTGTACCAGATCTGGATTAAGGCTGTAAGATATAAATCTTTTTCTTTTCTATTTCAGAATGATCAAGATATATGAGAGTGGTCTTCTTCAAATATGGGAACAGAATTGGTGGCCAAAAGAAAAATTTTGTGGCGGGTCATTGACCAATAATTCTGAGCCTATCGATTTACTGTCGCTACAGAGTGCCTTTTATGTTTTGGGGATAGGTGTTTTCTTAGCTCTCAGTATGCTTGGAATCGAATATTTACGGCAGACATTTTGCTTAAAAAAGAAAAAGAGTAATGGTTTAGCACCGTCTGAGAAACTAAGCGAGGGGTTTTAAAGCAGTGACAACGTTTATAAGTTTAAAGGTGTTAGCTGTCTGTAAAAGATTTTAATTGATTGTTTCAAGAGAAATATACAGAAGTAAATATTTTGTGTGGTACCAATGATTAAACAAGAAGTGATTTTGTGAGTTAAAATGTCCCAATTGCCTTTACACTTTGGAAAATGAGGCCCAGAAAACTTGCGATATTCGTCGAAGTGTTAAAATTGAAGATCGGCGAATATGTTAAGAGAAACGATGCTGTGGTTTTAATAGCTTTTAACGAAAATGAGGCCAAGTGACTGGAAGAAGATATTAGATTTGCGGCAATAAAGCAATGATGACGGTGACGGGTGCCAGGTTTACGTCCGAGGAGGGGCGTTTTGCCCGCAAAACTTGCTTTCGGGACTGCGATTCACCCCGCCCCCTCCTGAAAAAGGGTAATAGAAATAAAAAGGTTGAAAACTACTGTTCTAAAAGTATAATGATAAATGTGTTTAAAACGTTTTACATGTGAGGTTCCGGTGTGATATATTAGGTCTTATATTTTGATAGTTCAAGATAGGAGCTTCTAAAGCTCAATATATGCTTGCAATATTTAATTTATTATGCTTGCTAAACAATGCATTGTAACTAAAGGCGAATATGATTTATATTCCGATAAGGAGTACAGATAGCTAAAGTTCTATATCCGTAGACAGAATCCTTGCTTTAACAGTGAAATGGTCCCCTGTCCTATGCATATGTACCATCAAATTTCCTGTTTTAATTGCATTTATACTGCATATTGTCTAGAATGTGTAAAATAAAATGAATCTAATAATTTGTAAATATAAAACGAAGAGACTTGAAAAATGAGGAATCCCTTACAAAGCTGCTTCAGACATAAACCCTTGTTTCTGAAACCGTCGTGTTTGCCTCAAGCAGTCCTGCCTTCCGTTTTGTGAACATATTACGATCAAAATCGCGTGACATGTGATTCCAAGCTTCACTCTAAGACAAGAAGTAGTAAAATTTAAATATTCGCTATTTGTCGGGTTGTATATTGCTCGACGTTTTATAATTGAAAGGTTAAGATTGTTATGAACGCTTAGTCCGAGACGTATCGGCTCTTACAGCCGTCGATATATTAATTACACCGACAGCTACATGTACATTAGGATCATCGTGAAGTTTGAAACTATCTGTTCTCAATGCCAAGCTAGAAAATAATAGAACCACAAACGTTACATAAAAAAATATGCGAAATTGATCTCCTTTAAGGGTTAAGAAAAGTTCATCTTTGTTGATGCAGTGAGAGTAAACTCAGTAGAGTGACTAATGACGATAGTCGATAGACGTTTGCGCACATTTTGATAACCATTGGCCTTTTATCGACAACTTAATTTAACGTAAGATGATTTCAGTGTTCCATTCATCTGAATTTAGTTTTCGAGAAAAAGATTCCATCAAGATTATCTATAAAACTGGTAATATCAGCACCTTTCGGACTTTATATTAAACACTGACATAATAACGAGAACCGTAGAAGCAGGCCATCGTTTCCTTGCAGTTATTTATAACACCAGTTTTAAGTTTATCTTTTGTGAAGGTAACAAGAAATTTCAATTTTCTCCTTCAATGGCTGACTGAGGAGATTTTAAAGAGCTCGGATTATTCGCCGGAGTAATTTCATCTTTCTATTCATGAATAAGTGTACTTTATTCAAATTTCTTTCAAAATATCAACTCTCAACTAGACAAATTCAATAATAAACACAATTTTCATTTGACACCCAAAACACGACAGCTATAATAAGGTTGTTTAGGCCGTCTGTAGAAAACTACGTAGAAAAACACTCTTCAGAAGACAACATGATTAAAGTAGGAAAAATAATTCTGGAGATTAATTCAAACAGTTAAATAATAATATCTCACTGAAATTAGTTCTCACTTGAACCTTGTTTATATTCATATCATTTGAAGAGTTTTCAGAAAAGTTTAATAATGGCCTTGATGTGGGGGAAGAAACGGCTGAGGATTGGGGCTAAGAAAGGAGCAGTGGTGGAGCCAGTAGGAAAAAAGGGCGGGGGGGGGGGGGGTGCAAATGAAAAGTAGTTTGCATTCCCATTTGTACCCCCACTTTATTTTCAACAAGTCTAAATGTCTCCCCTTTTTTTAGGATATATGTGTCAGGATGCACAAAATCAATTCATTTTTTCTAAAGATTATTCGAGAGAAACCTCTACGAAGCTCTATGCAAGCGACTATGACACCACCACAGAGTAGCCAAAATTTTAATTCAGCCATAGCATGTGTCCCCCATTGTGTCAGTCTTCGATGAGGTAAGGCGATGTGAAATCACTAGAAGCATTTTGTTAGAAGCATTTTTTGAAGGCTACGTTCAATGACAGAAGATTTGGCGAGGTGCTTATGAATTAAAAATGCTATATTAATCTACATGCAAGGGCGGTCTATAGTTTAATATTTAAAATGGGATTTCTCCCCTTGATAGTGACAGCTGAAGCTAAAGTAAAAGTAACGAAGCAGCAACTCAAAGAATGGAAGTGGCTTCAATACATTCCCGTAACTAGCCCAATGTTCCAAGGTGGGCGGCAATATTTGCATGGGGACAAATAGTATAGAGACTGATTTAAACATCAATTCAGAATTTGTTCTAATTTTGCAAAGAAGATCAAGACGATGTTTAAAAATTAAAATGGAAGATGAACAAGTCAGACCTGATTAATTGAAAATAAAAAAAATTCTGTCCAGCTATATTAAATCACTAGGACCAATATTCCGTAGAACAAGTTTGAGGTCATATTTTGTTTCTATTTAGTCCTCTTTGTTCGACAGGCAGAGCAGAGCAGAGCAGGGCAGCGAAGAGCGGAGAAGAACGGACAGGCGTTGAGATATAGGCGTAGCAGGGCGACCTGAAATCAATCATTCGTTATGGAGTTCCTTCTTGTCAGCCATGCTAATTGAATGGTGGACAACCGCCAGCTCGAGGGAATAAAAAGAAAATTGTGCCGCTCTGTGCCGCTTGGTTAGCGGGATATACATCTGAACGTCTCTTCATAAGCAACTAATTAGACACTAATGCCACTACTTACCGCTCTTCTCATCTCCGTCCTGCTCAAATTGTAGTGTGAACGAGTCAACTGAAACAATTCCCGAGACAGGCATCACTTACAGAAATAAGTTAGATTGTAAGTATGGGAAGAGTTCACGTTGTGTTCTAGGTGAACGTTACTGACAGTGACATTACGAAATCTCAAGTCACGAACATCCGATCAACATCAACAAAATAAATGACAACAGTTTTTAATAATATTTATATTTTCGCCGAATAATTTCACAAGAATAATAACAGACAACATATATATATAGTTCATTTTGCAAATTTAATTTCGTTTCTTCCAGAACCGTTATAATGGTATAGGTTGAGCTTGATCTCAGGCCGTTATATTGGTAGTACATTCTACTGTAGTTCTACCACATTCAATAGAGCTTGGCGTTATCCAGCGACGAGGTCCGCAAACAATTAACGCCGTCATTGGAATAATTAAAGTATTTAACAGGTAGCGAATGAATTCCCGACACACATAACTCTATGAAAGGATTAAGTAAGCTGTATATTTAGGTGTGAGGTTAATGGTTATATTACCCAGACTCTGTTTGATACTGACGTTATTTTTATTTTCTACGGCTCCACTTTCCAAGTAAGGTATCAAAACTATTGTTGGTGAAAATAGAAAACAGATTCACTTCTATAGGTTACATCATTTTCAGTTTCCAGAAAATTAATTCAAACGTGATTAATGATTTATTTGGATCAATCGACAAGTTATCTCCCTTTACTTTTATATCAAGCATAGACTGATAAAGATGAAGGCCCGTAGCTGCAAAGCGGCAAGGAGGGGTGCTCCCCGAAAAAATGTATGACCCCTCTGAAAAAATTCAAACAATTGACTCATTCCATTACTGCAACTAAACACCATACACCACCGACGCTCTGGATGTATTACTTGCCCTTTCGAACAATCAAGTCTGGCTACGGACCTGGGTAGTTGGCAGAAAAGTTTTTATACATACAGAGCACATATCTAGTTTGTTTATGGTTACAATAATGCAATGGCAAGTGATCGCAAGGCAGCTATCTTACAAGTGGTCACTTGCAACACACTTAAAAGGGAGACAATCATATGTGACCTTATACTGTATATCGGCGATATTCACGATAATATGTTACCTTAAGCACAGATCACTGAACTAAATGCACAAAAGAATGTTTCACGGTGATTTCGTTTTCTTATCGTATGCACAAAACACAATTTTTCACCATCCACGAGCTCTATTCACAGAGGTTTAACTCGAAAAGGATATAATTTAATATGATTCGTTAATGATTGAAATGAATAGTGTTTTGCTACACCTGATTGAGATAATGAACAAAAAAAACCAAAAGATTTACCTGGACAGCGGCATATACCTTCGCTTTTTTCGATTTTTAAATACGGGAGCCTATGGTTATTGTTGCGTAGGAATGCCTAGACGTTTTCCCAAGTTTATAAAACCATTGAGATGAATCGGATGGTAATCAATATAAGTAAAGTTTTGTATGTGAACAGAGCTCATTACATATACTCTCTGTATACCACAGTATACTACATTTTTCCTTTGGTTGCACAGAAAACAAATTTTCTCGCCACAGATATGTGACCGATTGCAACACGTAGTTTCTTACTATTTACACAAAATGTTTTTACAAATTTCATCGTCGTTCTTGATCAGTTTATAATTAAAGACAGTTTGTCATCAGCACCAAACACATTTTTCACTTCCCATCGTTGTTCTTGCCCAGCTTTCATTTAAAGATAGATATCGAACACATTTTCCAAGCTCATACACTGTCATAAACATGTAATAGTGTTAACAGTCAGCCCTTTAAAATACTTCCGACGCGGACGTCACAGAACCATGGCTCTCTTGATGATATAGGCGACATGTTTAAATAGATCTGACCACGCCGCTTCTAGTTCCGGTGTCCATTTGTCGCCTAGTGTTGGTTGAATTGCCCAGATAAACTGAGGACCAATTAACTGAAACAGAAAAAAAAGTTCTGTATAATTAGTTTATAAATATATTATAAAGCGCATGTGGCCTTTCAAATGAAATATTTTCTAGAACTGCACGAGTATAGCATCATCTCTTCACATATACTTCAAACTAAAAATTTGACTTTCTTTTTCTATATTTTGCCGTTTATATATATTTGACGGAGTATCAAGAAAGACGAGTCTGTACACATATGGGTTTGAAGGCTCAAATTTTGACAATGAGCTGTGAACTCTATATCTGATTGGCTTAGCTCAAACAATATTCCCAATTCTGAGACTACTATACTATTGTTCATTTGATGGCGACCGTGTATCTTTGATTGACCGTACGTTCTTGACCACTTGGCTTTCGAATGTTTTTATAAGTCAGAATTGACTGAACTTGAACATCAAATAATTCACTACGATTTGAGAGATGCCCGTAGGTGCCTGAAGTCGTCTACAAATACAGGTCAAGCAGAACAAATAATTAAAAACGGAAGCAAATTTCCACTTCATTAAGCCACAATCTCGAAATACATTTCATCAGTTCTCTAGGCACCAATTTTTCTCTTCTAACTAGCGAGCTAGATAGGCTACTTGATCACGTTCAGGTTCACCAATATGGAAAACGCACGGTTTTTAATGACAAGATGCGAGTAGCTTTTTTTCATTTATGATGCTTGGAGTGAAGCAAATTAAGCTAATGGGAAGGCAAAAAGAGGTCGACCGAAAGGGATACTGCCATCTGAATCACAAGAAGAACACCGAAACCGACTTGTACATCCCTAAAACAATTCATAAATCAAAAACTCTATCACGATCAGAAAAATGACATATATCCTCCTAATCGCAATTCATACGTTTAGTCTGAATCGCAATAGAAGAAATCGTCACACGCAACTTCAAATTGATGGGAAACCATCTCTATCACTAACAGAGACCGACGTGTACCTTCCAAGGTTACCGACAGTGTTCGGAATTCCGACAAAATTAACATGGAATGAGATCGTTCACCACCGTTCCGTTTGGAAATAAATGCCACAGCTCGGTGTTTGCTATTAATTTACGGTTCGTCTACAATAACATCAAACGTACAAAAGAAATTGGCGGCAGTCTGTATTTCAACAGTCTAAACCTAATTAAATAACAGTTCTCATCTTGTTTGTTTCCGGAAATGATGGAAGATTAACTTGGGTAGACAACAAATTATCTACATGGAAAGTAAAATAAAAAGAGGTATACCAATGCTTAGGGGTTCCAGGTTCATCTCCATGTGAAATTTTTAGACGAATGTATTCCTTTTAGTTCCTTATAAAGCTAATCAAATCGCGCCGATAAAAATATGAGAAAAAACTCTGGCGGAATGAGGAAAAATATTTGTAACAATGAAACATAATGAATTCAATAACTGACATTTCCTCTTTAGCGTTCGGTTGACTAAATCACGGTCGTTACACAACTCAACATGTTCTTTCATTGCTCGATCATTTCGACTTTTTCAGCGGAAAATGTTACCATAACCAACGTTTCATTGACAGCTTTTATTTTTTGTGTTTACAAATTGACGGAGGTTAATTTAGTTACAAGAGAAAAGATGAGCCAATTCCGCCCGAATCTTGATAAACTTTTTGAGCAATGAAATAAAAAAAAATTGTCAGTTTTGACTTTTTGCTTCATGGAGGTTTTCTGTCCAATAAAGATTCTGTAACTTCTAACGTGCCTTTTACTGAATCATTCGTAAATAAAGATCTCGGCACTTTTTAGGAAACAAAATGAAGAGTATTTATTTTTCTGATTCCATTCGGACGTAATGCATTGTGGAATGGGGGAAATTTGGCCAAGACAGAGGTATTCTAATATGTATCGATTCTAACTGTAGAGGGATTTTTAACTCACACAGTCAATGAAAGGAGCCTCGGTTTATTGCACGACTAGATGCTTTTCCATGTAACCTGTATCACTGACAGTTAGAGGAATGAAATGATAAGCAGAAAACCTTCTACCTATCTGAACCTTCAATGAATTGTGAAGTTTAAAACATATTATGCATAGTGGCGGAGTCAAATTAGGGGTGGGGGAGGGGCAGAGGGGGCATGCACCTCCAACCCCCCTCAGACCCGAAAGCAAAAATCTCATAACTAGGTTAGAAATCAACCCCCCCGCCCCTCCCCCCCATCCGAAGTAAACCTGGCTCCACCACTGGCCATACATTGTGCAATGTATTTTGTGACGACAGTGAAATTGTCCTTTTTTCTTTGCCCAACTGTGCATAACAGCAGTTATTAGGAATTCACTTCAATTGAAAACTGTAAATACTGTGTGTATCATGACAAGTTTTGTGTCAAGGCTGACAACTAATTCAATACGATGGTTTGGTAATGAAGAAATGGCAACATGAACTTAGCAAGAGTTTGAGTACAAATTTGTCAGTTTATGATTAAAAGTGACACACCAGACACATAAAATAACGTACGATAAAACGATAGACGAGATCATCAAGAAATCTTAACTTTTAATTTGCTCACAAAGGGACTATAACAATGGGATAAACTTCATTTCATACATAGGTATTTACATATCTATACAATGACAACTGATCCCTGGACAGTTTTAGTCTAATTTTACTGTTACAGAATATCCTAGTTAATTACGTACATACAAGTTTGATCGGTCGGTAATTCAACTTTCATCTGATTTCATAGTAAACGTGAGATTTGACGAAGCATGGCGTCTGGGTCGGTAATTATCTGTTTTGTTGCATCTTGCCTGATTTGTCCACTACTCTACAACTTTTCCTCTCCATTTTGCCATACATGTACTTTGATTTGATTTTGATGAACGGAATTGTCTTATTTGTTCGGTAAATCGGCATCCACATTCCTGCTTGATTCGCATTCTTACTATAGGGGCCACCAGCTATGAAATGAATCCGCCATCTTTGTTAATCGCGTCTGTTGTTATGTAGACTAACAAAATGACTTATCGAAATGCGGATGCAAATGCAAATGGCAGCTAGCTCAAAAGTTAACTTGCTTAGGAAATAGTAGACCCTGACTTATACTCCAAATATAAGGCGTTCGTTGATTAGTTGAATAAATGATGTCAAGGGAGGTAATTAGGCTTCAATTATGGGAATATTGGTCTGATACCTGAAGCGTTCGATGGCGGAGTAATTTCAACAGCACTTAATCCTTCAGACCTAAAGATGTACTGATACTGGACTAAATATGCTGTGAAACAAAAGTGCTCCTAATGTCTAATTTCATACTATTGCATCTCCGTGTAACTGCCCTAAAGACACTCTGTAATGGAAAGTGACAACACCACAATACTTACATCAATGTAGTCAACTTTGGCATTATACATCACGTGACGAGATCCAAGTTGGTGAAGCATTTCATCCATTTTCTGTGGTTCATTTATTCTAGCAAGGCACTTCTCTACTGTCCCCATCACACGCAATGCATGTGAACGAAGCTGCGTGCTCTGTTTAAGGTCTTCTTTTGACTTTCCTTTAAAGGGCATGAATACATCCTGTACATCCGGGTGCGTCTCGAACAAACTGAAAATAAAATCATTCAATTTCAATTGATCATATTTATCATGATGAGATGATCTGGATTCATATTAACAAACGAAAAGTGTACAAGCGTGTTGATTGGCTGAAAAGGGTGAAATGAATATTTATCATCTCGATCCCTAATACGTGGTATGGTTTATCTGATAATGTAGAAATATAGAATAGTTTCGGATGTTTTGAAGAGACGATGCCCTTAAGTGAGCCGCTTTTGACCACTGGTTTTAGTTGCCCTTCAACGGTCAGTGACCCTAGGGAAAAACCAAGCACATATTAACCATTACAGCTAATCACAGGGGTTAACATGGGGATATAGTGTAAACAGAGGCTTAGTATTATTACATAATAAGCCATTGAAGAAGGGATGACTTCAGCTAATTAAAAAGAAAAGAAAGAAACACCTATAGGCCTATATTTTACAAGGATAAGGAGCTTTATCATATAACATGGTTCACACAATATGCTGGGGTTCAGCCCACTTCAGTCTATGAGTCCCCACTAGTTGAGCTATAGTTGACGGTATATCTTCCAAGTCTATCCTATACTGAAAATGTGGCCTGAAGTCCTTTAATGATAAAATATACGGCAATTGTTTTGATAATTGATAATTATCACAAGAGCGTCCGTCCGGCTGATAATGGGAGGTGGAAACGAAGGTGATAACATACGAGTTCGAATCTTCATTGAAATCAGAGCCTCGAGTTATGTCTCATGACATTGAGGAAACAATTCTAATTACTAATGATATTAAAATGTACGTCACAGAACCACAGGGCGTGGATGGTTTTATTCCGGACTGAAGGCATATTATTACTTACTTACTTAACGCTGTCTACACGATGTTAATGGCAGCTTGCACGCATGGCAATAACAATATATGCCGAGCTCAATTAGATGCGTGGGGGGGGTGGGGGGGGGGGTGCTTGGACTTGCTTGAGTTGGCGGGCCCCTCTCACGTTTTTTTCGACAAATGCTTGTATTAGGGGAATGGGAGTCGGAGGGTGGGGGGAGAACTAGTCCCTATGGTAGTTTAGCCACTGATACCGTGCAAGCAAGTGTTCAGATAAAGAGATATGGTAAGGTAATCGTATGATAGTGTCTGACCTTGTATAATATACATTATGTATATTCAAATTATATTCCTGATGAAAATATCTATCCATTATAAAAATCCGTACAAGCAATACGATTTTGTCAACCAAAAATCTAGACCAACCCAGGATAAAATCGGGGGTGATAACTGTATTGTAGTGGGCTCCTCAAACGACAAGAATCATCAGGTGTTTTATTATTTTCCTCAAAACCAATTGTTTCCATGTTGTAGCAAAAGAATTTTATCTTATCGTAGACGAACATGGTGTTACTTCTGAAAGCTCGTGTATATTTCGCCTGGAGCGAATGATATTTTATGAAACTGATACAAGCTCATTTGCAGCAAAAATTGACAATAGAAACAACAATCGCCTACGGGAGTGGAATGAACTTAAGTTTTTCTTCTATTTTTCACGATCAGAATGTTCTTGGGGGAGTGATAAATTTCTATAATGCTATAAAGATATAAGAACACCACGCTCGTTAGGTTATTTGTCAATAACTTGCCCACCTCATTAGCTTTGATACCTATTCAAATGTTTAAGGATATCAGGAAGCGATTCTCGGGAAATTTGAACACTAAATCCTTTATGCCCTGAACACTAATATCATCTTTAATTAAAGGATACTACCGAGGGGGTGTGGGGGCGAAATATCTGAGATTGCCCGAATTTCTAATCTAGATTTTTGCCCGAAAAACTTGTGGCTGCGCCACTCTTAAAGAGGGAATCTGTCAATTTTTTGGTCATCCTTAGAGGTATTATGCCCTTAAGTTTTCGAGAAGTGCCCCTATTTCCAATGGTGTGATACATAATTGGGTGGGTTCCGATCTCGATCGGCATGTGAAAGTCCGATGACCTTGCAATCATCTCTACTCATAATTCCAATCGACCCAGCTGTAAATGGGTACGGATAATCCGGGAAAGATCAGCTGGTAGAAAGGATCCTTAACTGTGAACCTAAGTTGTTATCCTTGTAAAATATAGGCCTATAGGTGTTTCTTTCTTTTCTTTTTAATTAGCTGAAGTCATCCCTTCTTCAATGGCTTATTATGTAATAATACTAAGCCTCTGTCTACACTATATCCCCATGTTAACCCCTGTGATTAGTTGTAATGGTTTATATGTGCTTAGGTTAATTAATACTATTTCGTGATGCTAACAGGGTTAACGGTAATCTATATAATCTTATTGGACAATATAATTAACTTTTCAGCATCTGCTGATAGCGGGCGTTAACTTGTCATCTACCAACAACCACCTAGTCTCTGATATCAGTCAGCTGAAAGCGGACGTTAACTTGTCATCTACCAACAACTACCTAGTCTGTGATATCAGTTAGCTGGAAGCGGATATTAACTTGTCATCTACCAACAACCACCTAGTCTGTGATATCAGTAACCTGGAAGCTGACGTTAACTTGCCATCTACCAACAACCACCTAGTCTGTGATATCAACTCTCTGGAAGCGAACGTTATCTTGTCATCTACCGACAATCACCTAGTCTGTGATATCAGTTAGCTGGAAGCGGACGTTAACTTGCCATCTACCAACAACCACCTAGACTGTGATATCAGTTAGCTGGAAGTGAACGTTAACTTGCCATCTACCAACAACCACCTAGTCTGTGATATCAGCATTTGCTTGAAGCGAACCTTAACTTGTCATCTACCAACAACTACCTAGTCTGTGATATCAGTTAGCTGGAAGCGGATATTAACTTGTCATCTACCAACATCCACCTAGTCTGTGATATCAATTCTCTGGAAGCAAACGTTATCTTGTCATCTACCGACAATCACCTAGTCTGTGATATCAGTTAGCTGGAAGCGGACGTTAACTTGTCATCTACCAACATCTACCTAGTCTGTGATATCAGTTAGCTGGAAGCGGACGTTAACTTGTCATCTACCAACAACTACCTAGTCTGTGATATCAGTTAGCTGGAAGCGGACGTTAACTTGTCATCTACCAACAACTACCTAGTCTGTGATATCACTTACCTGGAAGCGAACGTTATCTTGTCATCTACCAACAACTACCTAGTCTGTGATATCAGTTATCTGGAAGCGAACGTTAACTTGACATCTGCCAACAAATACCTAGTCTGTGATATCAGTTAGCTGGGAGCGGACGTTAACTTGTCGTCTACCAACAACCACCTAGACTGTGATATCAGTTAGCTGGGAGCGGACGTTAACTTGTCGTCTACCAACAACTACTTAGACTGTGATATCAGTTAGCTGGGAGCGGACGTTAACTTGTCATCTACCAACAACTACCAAGTCTGTGATATCACTTACCTGGAAGCGAACGTTATCTTGTCATCTACCAACAAATACCTAGTCTGTGATATCAGTTAGCTGGGAGCGGACTTTAACTTGTCGTCTACCAACAACTACCTAGTCTGTGATATCACTTACCTGGAAGCGAACGTTATCTTGTCATCTACCAACAAATACTTAGTCTGTGATATCAGTTAGCTGGGAGCGGACTTTAACTTGTCGTCTACCAACAACTACCTAGTCTGTGATATCAGTTAGCTGGAAGCTGACGTAAACTTGTCATATACCATCAACTACCTAGTCTGTGATATCAGCATTTGCTTGAAGCCGATGTTATCTTGTCATTTACCGACCGACCGACCATTTAGTAAATTTACCATATAAGGACAGAATGTAGCGCAGTCTTGTAGAGCGTTGTAATCCAATGGACGTAATTTGCTTGGTTATTTTAAACAAATTATCGCCTTTCCTTGGGTTTGATCAGTGTGTTGAATAAGTTATCTTTCCTCATATTTCAAGTCGACTTAACTGGAAATGGGTACGGATAATATGGGAACGGTCAATGCCAAAAGGTTTCTGTTTTATGGTTTTTACGCATCACTAAAGCTAAACATTTTTTATATATGTGGACTCTCCTAAACGGACGTCGACCGCCATCGTATACATTTTAGTCTTTGGACTTCAACTCAAGAGTTTAATTATGATTGATGTATCGAATTATCGTAAACACATCTATATATCCAGGTTAAAAAATATATGGTTGGAATTTATTTGATGAGTTTGTAAGAGAAAATAAATTATTCGCCTTCTCAAGAAAGAAACTGGTGTTAACGTCTTATTTCATACAAAAACCAGTCGAATTTATGAAAATTTATTGGGCTCGATAGGAAATAAATCACGGCAAAAATTACACAACAAAATTCACAAAATTATCAATTCCTTAAAAATTATACATGACATATTTGTTGAAATTTATTATTTTTTTTAATCATGATTTATACCGAAATCTTTGTCATTTTTTCTTCCTCTTTTTAAGATGTTAAATTCCAAGGCCGCACGATAATGGAAGCCAAAAGGCAAATGTCACACTTTTGAAACGACGACCAGGGTTATAGAAGTGGGTATATTGTTTTAAAAATTATTTTAAATCAACCTAGAGTTATCTCCCTTTTGCAAAGATGACTGCAGAATAATGTTGGACCTTGTCCACTAAAATGATTTCAGTATGCGCTATTTTTAGAAATTCTCTTTCTCCCTCCATCTCCTTTTGGGGTTTAGCGTGCCTATTTCTGAATAATATTTCTGAATCATAATCCAATTAACTTTTAATTTATTCAATTTTGATAAACTCACTTCACAATACTTAATTTTATCGAGAGACTTAACCATCAGTCTCGTCACTTTAACTAGACTGAACGATAACAAATAGTACGATCACGACCAACAACGAAATGTCAAATAAAACAAGATGCAGAATCTAATCCACCCATTTGAAAACACTATATTACCATTGGAATAAAAGACCTAGAATTATTCAGGAGTTGTTCATGTAGCAGAACATTGGACTGATGGTAATATCCACAGTCATATGAATAGACGGTACAAGAC